AGGGGCCCCCCTGCCTCGGAGTCCACCAATCCCGCTGACACCTGCATTTCGGACTCTGGCCTCCAGAGCTGGGAGACTGGAAGTTGCTAGTGTTTTAAGCCCCCAACCCCGAGTGTGATCGTTTATGTCGGCAGCCCCAGGAAACCCAGACAAAGCCCTCTGAGTCTCTGTGCCTCAGTTTCCACTCAGGGGTCTAGATCAGCAGAATTGAAGTCCTCTCCTAGCACACGTGTTCTGGGGTCTAGTAAGGGGACGAGAGGCCACCCCACAGGCTGAGCTGTGCACACACGTGGGGGGCCTGGGCTGCTACCTCGCTCCCACCCTGGAGTGTCTCCACTGCCGTCCTGGCCGGAAGCTACCATGGGGCAAATCCCAGGGTGATACTCACATGGCTGCCTGGCTCACTCCGCTCTTCTGAAAAGCAAAAAGAAGAGACACAAGTGAAAAAACGCTCATGCAATCGCTGCACAGCGACGTTTCGGGCAACAGTGGCCCATAAATGAGGGTGGTCCTGGAAGATTCTAATGGAGCCGAAAGATTCCCATCGCCCAGTGACACCATGCCGACATAGGAAAACGCATTCCACATGCAATTGTGGTCTCCCGCGCTGCCAGACACACACACTGTACATTATGTTCAGCACATAGAACCTGACAACGATAACACTCAACCACACTCCTGTGTTAGGTAGTTAGCACAATTTTTATCATTATGTTAGAGTGCTCTTTCTACTTATAAAATGCAAGCTCTGCTGTAAAACAGCGTGCCGTGCTGCCCGGCAGTAGTCTCACACGCCTCGTGTTCACCGCGTGTCGTGATGGCATCGTTGTCTCTGGTGCTGGTTTAATCTCGTGTTGTTTTGTGCTGTAACATGTTGTCCAGGCGGGTGGCCTGGGAGCGCCAGGCTCTCCCGTGCAGCCCAGGTGTGGGGTAGGTGTGCCCCCTGGGGGGGTGTAAGTGCACGCTGAGGTGGGCTCGCGACGCCATCGCCTCCCGATGCATTTCTCAGCACGTGTCCCCATCACTAAGTGGCGCGTGGCTATAACTCACATTAACCGGACAACAACTCCCGTGAGGGAAAGGAAAGGTGCGTAATTCACAGGACTTACGTTTCATGAAATGGACAACCTGCTGCAAAAGCTGCCGCACACCTGGCAACACAGAGAGGTGAGCTTACTCAGTGCCCTTCACCAGCACCCAGGGACCCGCCCTCCTCCAACCCCACTGGCAAAAGAAGCACCAGTCGCTCCCTGCTTACTGGCTGAGGACACCCCAAATGCCCCATCTCCATCCAACCATTTGTCCTAAGCCTGGAGCCCTGTGTGGTCGGGGAGCACGTGACTGATGGCCCCTGCCCCCTAGGGCCACTTCAGGCCCAGGAAGGCCCCCGAAGTTATAAAGTAAGCGTCACCTTATTTTAAATGAAAACTCCCCATCGGGACCTCCTAGTCTAGGTCCCCACCCGGAGCTCCCATGGGGCCACTGATCTATTTCTCTGGAATCGATCAAACTCAAACTTACGTCGTCTTCTACAGCGACAGATGATGTAGCCGCCAACGATAACGACGACGAACGCACCCAAAGACACAGGGATGAGCCAGTCCTTGTTTGGGTTTCCTGACGGAGGACACAGGGTGTTGGAGCAGGTGAGCATGCTCCCAGGCCCAAGGGACCTGCTGCAGAAGACATGCCTGCTCCCGGGACCGAAGGCGACATCCCCGTCGCCCAGGCCCCAAAGCGCTTCCCCACTGAGCGATGACTGGGCCTGCCCGGTGGGGCGGCAGGAAGACAGACTCCTCCATCCGAGGGCTCAACCAAGGACCCCGGCTCAGAGGGTGTGGGGTCCTGCTCCTCAGAAGCAGAAGCAGGTGCCTCCCGACAGAAGGGCAGCAAGAGGTCCTGGTGCTCCAGGCTGGGGCCCCGTCCAGCTTGAGCGGCCACAGCTGCGGGGTTTACTCCTGGGCCAGCAGGAGGCAAAGCCTGGAGGCCGGAAGGAGGGACGGGACAGCCTGTCCGGACTGTGGACGGCCCGGCACAGTGGCCCCAGGAGCAGGGCAGGGTCCACCCCGGGAAACGTGTGTTGAGATCAGTCAGGTGTCCTGGTCTCAGCCTGGTGACATCGCAGCACCGAAAAGAGCCACAGACACACAGATACGGGAGCGGGGCAGGCCCATCGGAACTGTGACAGCCCCGTGAGGACAGAGGGACCACGGTGACGCCGTCACATGACGTCATCCTTCCATTCAAAGGCTTTTCTTTATACTCAGGTAGAGCCCTTTGTAATGTATTTTCTTTTTTTGGAATTACAATACTATTCGAGCGTTTGTGTGTTTTCAAATCAACATTTTTGTGAAAATCAACAAGGCATTCTGAACTAGAAACTGACACCCCAAAGTCTAAGGGCCGCCCTGACAATCATAAGGACAACGGGGGACATTTGCCTCCGATGTCCAGGCCTGCCACCAGAGTGGGACAGAGCCAAGGACAGACAGACAGAAAGTCCCAGGGTTCCATGGGCACTTGGTTCATGACCAAGTGACACTGAGGGTGGGGGAAGGGACCGTCGTTTGCAAACACGATCCTGGGTGACTTGCATGTGTGTGTGGACAACACACAGCGGACCATGGTCCCCGCCTCGCACCATGAACAAGCACGGCATAGGGGTGACACCGGGGAGGACGGACGAAACGGGAAGGGTCCGAACTGAAGGGACACCTGCCGGCCCCTGGGAGCCAGCCAGTCCTCCCCACCTGCTACGCTCCGCAACGGGAGGCAGGATGGGTCCAGAGAGCTACCCGGTCAGCCCAGGGATGCTGACCTGACCCCACAGGGCCCAACTCGGGGGGAAAGGGTGGGGAAGCCCAAGGCAGTCTCCAAGGAGCCTGTCTGCTCACTCAAGACAAGGGTCTGTGAACTATGGCCCACAGGCTCATCCCAGCTCACTACCTAGTTTGTGAATAAAGTTTTATTGGCACAGCCGGCACACCCGTTTGCTTTCTGTCCCCCACTCCGACATGACAGCAGCAGAGTTGAATATTGAGAACACAGTCCATTTGGCCGACAAAGCTGAAATCCCTCACCTTTGGGGAAAGGTTTCCTGACCCAGGTTTAAGACATGAGATCAGGTTCTCACCTGGCACTGGGCTCGTTTCTGCAGCACAGATGGCATCCTGTGTGGCATTGCACGGATGAAGGGTGGCGCCTTCACACCTGACAGGAAGGAGAAGAAACCCCAAGGTGACTTCTCCCTGCCCGGCCCCAGACCCAGCCTCAGGGCAATCGGTGCCTGGCATTTCCCAGGCGATCTGCCCAAATTGCTTCAGTGACTATAAAGGTCAAAACTTCGGTCTCTCTGTCCCTGGACAGAGCTCTGTGTGGCTATGAGGATGGGACCTGCTGTAGCCGTGTCTCTACCAAGAGGGACGTCAGCCCGGAGATGAAGCCCATGGAAAAGGGGACAGGCAAGCGAGGTCTAAGGGGACAGGCAAGCGAGGTCTAGAGAAGCCAGAGCCCTGATCAAACCTGACCTGACGGCAGCCTTCACTTTGCACTTGGCAGGTACACGAGCTCAGCCTAACACAGGCTGAGGTGTAATTAAGAATCTCCAATGTGCCCCACAAAAGTGAGCTATTTTGCAAGTGGCTTTACCACTGCAATGCCTCCCCAAAATCCATGCCCACCCGGAACCTCACAATGAAACCTGATTTGGAAATAGGGTCTTTGCAGATGTAATCGTGTCAGAATGGGGTCCTACCGGAGCAGGGCAACCAGAATGACCGACGTCCTTGCAAGACGGACATCGGTGCGCAGATAGAGAGGCCATGTGCAGACACAGAGACAGACACACAGGAGACGACGGGCGACAGGACAGAATCAGAGGTTGGAGCGATGCGCCTACAAGCCACCGGGCGCCAAGAAGAGCCGCCACCACCCAGAGCTGGAAGGGGCGGCAGGGTCCTCCCAGGGCCTCCGAGGGAGCGAGGCCGCGGCGACACCTTGATTTCGGACTTCTGGTCTCAGACTGTGAAAGAACACATTTCTGTTGTTTCTGAGAGCCATCCAGCGGGGTGCTTTGTTACAGCAGCCCCAGGACGCTCACACAGCGACAGCGGTCCCTCAGCGCGGTCACAGGGCACAGCACGCTCTTCTCTCTACCAGAGCTCCCTCCTTCTGGAACTTTCTATGGCTCCATCCCTCCCTCATCAGGCCTCTACTCCAGAGACCTGTCTAGGCAGCCCCCTCCTCGCCCTCTGTCCCTCACGGATTTGTCATTGTGTGTGTGTCCTAACTGTCTGTCTCCTACACCCCTGGGGCTTGAGGCCTGCAGCCCCACCTGCGGCCAGAGGGCTCACAGTCATTGAATGAATGGATCCGCGAGTCCAGGGGTCCCTGAGGCCGGCTGGCCGCCAGGTGGAAACTTCCAGCAGGTTTGTTTGATTTAACCTTCGGGACCCCTCTGCACGGCAGGTGCTACCTTGAGCCCCATTTACAAATGGGGAAACTGAGGCACCGGGAGAAGGGGCTACACGAATGACCCAAGCAAAGATGCTGCGAATGGAGGCGTGGGTACCCAAGCCCAGGCCTGTCTGGTGTGCCCGTCCCCGAGGTGGCACCTGGTACAGCGGTAGCACATCTCCACACAGTCCCCTGAGTCACAGTAGTAGGACCCTGTCTTGCACTGGCACTGCCGGTCCCTGGTCGGGGAGCATGAAGTCACCTTCTCCTGATCTGTAAAGAGGAAAGGCTGAGGGTCAGTCACGGGGCACGGACTGTGTCCCCGCCCACACAAGGACACATCCAGCTGCATCGTGTCTGCTGTCACCCTCCCTGCTAACACCTAGGGGTGACGAGGTCACCACCAGAACTTATTTTCTGCAATTGGGGTGTTCAGAAGCCGGTGGGTGACCACAAACCTGCGGTGTGTGTGCAAGGACCAGAGGGTGCCCCTGCAATCTGGGATGGGGGGGACAGTGTCAGCTGTTTAGAAACACCCCCACATCCTTCAATCTTGTTTGTCCCCCAAAGAAAAGGACAACACCGGTTTGTGCTCCGTGTAACACTCCAGACAGAGGTTGGGGACCCAGAGTAGCCCTCACACCCCCCACCCCTGCAGTCACACTGACGACGGCCCTTCTGGAAGCTCTCAGGGTGTGGTCATGTCTACACACCCCACAGGGGAGACGCCCCACAGCCCGCCTCGCTGCCTCAAACGTGGGGGTGCACTCAGGTCTGAAAAACGCCTTTGCCCATCTCCCTGTTCTCCCTGGTACCACAGTGGTAGAGCCAGAAACTGTACGTGAGATATAAATAAAATGGGGCCACACCCCCAGCCTGAGACACCCCCACACACACACCCCGAAGCCCCGCCCTGTAGACTCCACCTCGTCCTGTCACATCCTTAAGCCACACGTGTCAGCATGACACAATCACAGCGGGGTCGTGCTGTGCACACCACGCTGGGTGGCTTCTGGGGCACTCTCACATCCGGGGTCCACTCTCCCTGTGGGCACCGCGCCCTGTGCGTATTCACACAAAGCTTTATAGACGCTGCAGTCAGTGATCGTTTGGGGGCTTCTGGCTGCGCTACGACAAACTCCCCAGCTCCCTCCGAACACATGGGAAGAGCTGGTCAGGTCTAGACTGGGACATGGGTGACACGGGGTGGGACAGGGGTGGCTGCGGGGGTGGGAGCTCAGGCACATGTTTAATCACGCACCCACCCGCAGCCCACTTACCGTCCCGGCACTGAGCACACGGCAGGCAGCTGGTCTCACTGTTGGGATGGGCCGTGAAGGTGTCAGGCTCACACTGGCTGCACTGTGTGGACTGGGTCCCGTCACAATGTTTGCTGACGTGCTGGCCTGCATGGGGGGGACACAGATGGGAGGCGGACGCCCAGGGCAGCCATCTCTGCACAGACCCGACCTGGACCCGAGGCCTCTGCTTCAGGAGGTCCCACAGCCCCTGGTGGCCAGGCCCTTGGACACTGTCGCCCCTCACCTCCTACCTTTCTGGAACATTCTGGACTGACACCCCGATCCATGTGTCCCAGGGACTGGGGACCTGAAGCACTCCCTAAGCTGTCACCAGTATCCTGCAGCTCGTGTAGACAGATGGAGCCTGCCCGGGAGCCTGGAGGCCTGTGCGTCCACCCACCCCACCCCCATCCGGCCCCTCAATCCCCCTCATGCTCGCCAGCTTCCAGCCCAAATTCCAGGGGACATCGAAGTCCAGAAACAGAGGCGTCTGACCCACTCTTGAGGAGCCCTCGGGCCCGGGGCTCGCCTCATGCGAGACTGTATCTGAGTCACACCTTCCCGGGGACAGGCCACCAAAACGTGCACTTTGTACACATCAGGAGGTCACAGGTGTCACACAGGCCAAGTGGGTCTCATTCCTTCCTAAGTGTGGTGTGCGCAGGTGTGCGTGTGCTCACGTGTGTGTGCACAGGTGTGCGTGTGCGCGCAGGTGTGTGTGCAGGTGTATGTGGAGAGGGTACGGGGCCGAGGAGTCCAGCTGTGAGGTTTGGCCCCTGAGCCAGGCGTCCTATGAAGACACAGGTTCATGGACAGAAGGAGGTCAGTGAGGGGGTGCAGATGGCGATGGCGGTAGGTGTGTGGCTGTCCCCTCACAGAGGAGACCCCTGAAGCAGTGTCATTCAGCGTGTGTGCACACCTGCCTGTGTGAGTAGACGGGGGTGCAGGTGTGGGGGCAGTGGGCCTCTGACCAGGTTCCCTAGAAGGCCTCCTGACAGGAGGGTAGGTGGGGGCGCCCTGCCTGTGCATGCACCCCCACTTCTGTCCTCCAAGCTCTGCTGAATGCAGCTCACCCACCTTCAAACAAGCACACAAAGCCCTCTGTTCACAGGAGCCCCACTAGGCGGGTGCAGAGGTGGGGTGGCTGGGAGGCTTCCAAGGAGAGGGCCCCCCAGGACAGCCTGCTGCTCTGCCCCGAGCCCCCTCCTCCCACCCCACCCAGGTCAGGTCTGCCCCGAGGGCTCGGGAAGACGCCCCGACACTCACCTGCCGGGCACAGGGGGCAGCACAGGCCGCGGTTCTTTAGCTCATACTTGTCTGAGCCACACCGGGTCACACTGGTCGCGGCGGTCACCTATGGTCAGAAAGGGAGGCTGGCTTTACCAGGAGAGGCCTCTGCTCCCAATGGACGTCCACGTCCTCTGACGGACACGTATGACCAGAGGGGGCACCGCTTCCCTGCCGGGGTGGGCTTCCCGGGGGGAACACTCTGGGAACTTGTTCATACTCTCTGACCTTTGACTTGTCACAGGGAGCACGAGTTATTTAGAGGGAAGACCTGCTCTAGCTGCCAAAGTCACGAGGTCTGGCCGACTGTGTGGGGTGGATGTCTGACCTCTTCATTCTTATTTCGTTTCCCTAATCTACCACCCTTTGGTGATGTTTCTTTCACTAATCAACTTCTGCTGTTCCTGCTGCACAAATTTCTGTCTCTTGATTGAACTCATTCCTTCAAGAAGATGACGAGCTGAAGTTCAATGTCATTTTCCCGGTAACAAGTGGTTGTTTCAGGCATGGCTTTTGGCACCCTGGCACCCCCGAATCTGTCCCTCCATTCTATTCCAGCATCGCCTGACCTCCCAGGCCCAAGTTGAGGCAAAATGTAAGTGCCTCCCCCAAAACAAAACCCAAAAAAACTCAGCGATCAAGATGAATACTATTCAATGCAATATTGTTTTAAAAATCAAATCGGCAAACTGAGGCTGGCTTTTGTACATCAACTTTTTTGGAGCCAAGGATGGGGCACCAGGTGAGCAGGGTCAGGCCAAGAGCAGGGTCGCGACCCGTCTTTATTTAAAATGTTTCTATTTTTTCATCATGTTTTTTTTTTTGCATGAACTTTTAAAACGTACTACATTGGGCCGGCCAAGTGGCTTAGTTGGTTAAGAGCGTGAGCTCTGAGCATCAGGGCGGCCGGTTCGATTCCCACATGGGCCCGTGATGCTGTGCCCGAGCTGAGCTACTGCTGAGCTGCCAACAGGTGGCAGGATGGCTCAGCTGGCAAGAACACGTGCTCCTAACAACACAGCTGCCTGTTCGATGGTGGGCTATGCCCACCCGCAACTAAGACTAAACTCAGCCCCTTCAGCTGAGCTAACAGCCTGAATCAGCACCCTGGGCAGAGCTGCTGCCAGGATGGCTGAGCGAATGGAGCGTGCGCTCTTAACAACAAGGCTGCTGGTTCGACTCCTACATGGGATGGTGGCTACGCCCACCCGCAGCTAAGATTGAACACAGCACCTTGAGCTTAGCGGCCACGAGCTGCAGACGGGCAGCCAGATGGCGACTGGCGCCCCCCAGAACTAACACGGAAGAACAACACTTGGCTGGTCCCCTTCCCAATCCCCAACACTGTTCCCCTCCCCCAATTCCCCAATTAAAAGAACAAACAACAAACAAAAACAGGTACTACATCAAAGTATGATTTATCTTGTTCACTTAGCTTTCATGGCGCCCCAGTTCATTTTACACCAGATGTGAGTATCCAAGTCCCCCTCCAGCCACTCACTTGCAGATGACCAAGGGATCCCCATTTTCCCACTCACAGCCCACCTCCCGGCAATTCCCCCACCCCAGGGGCTCACCCAGCCAGGGGTCTCCCTCCTGGCTCCAGCGTCCCTTCCTGTCTGCTGTCCCTTTGGATCCTTCCACCAGCCCCATAGGCTGAAAAGTCTTCCCAACCCCTTTACTCCTGTCCTAGGAAACCCCTAAAGACACCCAATGCCACCTGGGAACCACTGGCATTTGCTGACCCCCAAAAGGCCCCAGTGAGGAAACCCTGGAGGGCCTGAAGGACTTCAGTGAGTGACAACGTGCCACCAACCGGAAGTGAGCAGCCTCCTCTGGGCAAGGCGACCCCCAGAGGGAGGGGCCTGGGAGGGACCCCTGAGAACCGCAGGCCCAGCAGCTGCACTGCAGCAACACAGAGGGCGGGGGCGTCTGCTCTGCGCCCCCGAAGTTAGGCAGGGCGGTGGGCTAAGGTCAGAAGGTGCAGATTGTAATAGAATCTCCTGGTCCTGAAGCTTCAGGCGGTAGGACAAGGAGCTGTGGACAGAATAGGGGCCACACGTGAAACCTGACAAGCTCAGGAGACAAAATAACCACAGAGGGTGGCGTGAACATAAACATTGCTAACAAAGGTGGGCCATGGCGGGAAGTCACATCCTTGGCCTGTAGCTTCCTTGACAAAGGTCAATCTTTACCTTAAGCCTGTCTGTCATCTTTTTGCATCTAAGATAACAGACCCCAAAATATCAGAGTAATCTCTTCTTCCGGAGCCCCCAGGGGGCACAACCCCCCACACCAGAGCAGGAAACTCCAAAGTCCCTCCGTTATCTTGCTCCCCAAATACTATCTCTATGTGCTGTTAAGTGCTATTAATTATGCTGTGCCCACCACTGTAAAAGAAGTGTGTGTCTCTCCATTTTACTTTTTATCCAATCCCAGAGATTTCCCCGCTTTGCTTTCTCCCACCCCCTTAATGTACAACCAATGGATTTCATGGAACCTTCCTCCTTTGATTCGAAGGTATCAAATAAGTTGCAAAACAGCCATTTTCTGCACCATTTTCTCAATCCATTGAGACTTTGCTTCCCGGCTCAAATAAACTCTTACAAGTTTTCTCGTAGGCTGGATACGTCTCATCGACAGAGGAAAGGACCCTGATGACACAGGACCAACCTGTCCTGAGACACACCCAAATTTCATGCAAGAAAGGGCTCTCTGGAGAAACACCTTTTCAGTTCTTAAAAGCGGCCCTGCAGGCATCACCAGCCAAGCTTTGCCACAGGGCACCAGCGCTCCCAATACAGGGAGCTGCTCAGAACCAGCCTGAAGGCAGGACAGAGGAAATGATGCCAGATCGCACCCGCATTTCCCGGGGGCACAGCCCACGCAGCCATTGCTCAGGTACAAATAAAACATCACCCTGAAGCGGCAGCCACAGAGCTGAGGCCGCGTCTCAGGATGAAGTGCTGAAAACGGAACGGGGAAAAAAGGAGCGAAGCTGTAGACAAAGTAACTCAAGTAAAGTCTGAGCTCCGCCGGGCTCCTCTGAGGTTGAGACGAGCACAGGAGGGGGGGGGGGTGCTGACATGAAACGGTGAACTAATCTTCACACTTCCTGTGGTTTGAGGTTACCACACTTGATGCTTTCGAACCCAAATCGATCGCTTATTGTGACGTCATTACAGAAACAATAACACTTGAAAAAATGTTAGCGATATTCACAAAATAGTGAAAATATTTCTGCGCGTTGCTAGATAAGAGAAAACAGCTGAGTTGATTTGTAGCAAATAGACCAGACTTCTTGAAATTAACCGCCTCGCCCTCCGTGGGCGGAGTCGGGTTTCCGGGCTTATGGAAAACCCCCACCACCCCCCTTTCACCGCGCTCCGGAGCCGGGTCTGCAGCGTTCGCTCCCGGACAGCGCACAGCGTCCGCCTGCCCCTGGCCTGGCAGCCCCCACACACCAGGTCCCCTGAACATCGCCACAGTCTCCAGTTACCCTGGAAAACCTGGGGGTCCATCGGGCCTTCGAGGCACCAGCGTGTTCTCCTACAGGGCGCGCGCCCCCGGCGTGTGGCACCGGAGCAGCGCCAGTTCCCGGCACCGCGCCCGACCCAGCGGGCCCCGGGCAGCCCTCGGCCCGGCAGGATTGGGGGGGGGCAGAGAGGTGCGCGTGGGGGCGGCCCGACCCCCAGCCAGTCCCCTTGGGCTGCGCCCGGAGGGGGCTTTTCCCGGGCCGGTCCAGCTCGCCCCCGGCGTCCCCGTCCCCGGCCTCCCGGCGCTGCCCGGAGCGATCCCTTCGGCCACACCCTACTCACCCAGGCCGGGAGAAGCAGTAGGAGCGGGCCCCACCGCAGCGACATGGCTGCGAGACTTGAATTAATAGCGGAGACCAAGGAGAACCGGAAGTTACACTGAGCTGCACCGAGATGCGCTAACTAATAAAAAGCGCCCAAGCCCCGCCCCTGCTGGAGGAGTGGCCCCTGAGGGCATGCGCAGGGCGCTGCGGGGTGGGGGGCAGGGTCGGGGGCGGGGCTCCATTCCCCGCGGCTGTCGGGGAACAGCCCAGGTAATCTGTAGGGCTGCCCAGGCCCGGGGACCAGGTGGGCGGTGCCTCTGATCCCTTGAAATCCTGAAAGCGATGTGTAATTATCTGAAAGAAACTGTCCTTATAGACAAAGGTGACGGGTCAGACCACCAGGCACCGCCTCCCCGGCTCTCGGCACGGCCCCCGGCACTCGGCATCGTTTCTCTTGGCATCGTCCCTCCGGCTCTCGGCCTCGTCCCCTCCTCTCTCGGCACCGCCCCACTCTCTTGGCACCGCCCCCGGCTCTCGGCATCGTCCCTCTGGGCACCGTTCCTCCTGCTCTCGGCACTGCACCTCGGTTCTCTGCAACGTCCCCTGGCTTCGGCACCGCCCCTCGGCTCTCGGTTCCGCCCTCCAGCTCTCAGCACCGCCCCCCGGCTCTCGGCACCGGCCCTTAGTTCTCGGCACCGCCCCTCGCCTCTCGGCACCGCCCTCCAGCTCCCGACACCGCACCCCCGCTCTCGGCACCGCCCCTATGGGCATCGTACCCCCCGGCTCTCGGCATAGTCCCTCTTGGTATCGTCCCTCTCGGCATCGTCCCTCCGGCTCACGGCACCGCCCCCGGCTCTCGGCATCGTCCCTCTGGGCATCGTCCCTCTGGTCATCGTCCCTCCGACTCTCGGTACCGCCCCTCGGTTCTCGGCACCGTCCCCTGGCTTCGGCACCGCCCCTCGCCTGTCGGCTCCGCCCTCCAGCTCTCAGCACCGCCCCCCCGGCTCTCGGCACCGCCCCCACCGCTGTCGGCACCGCCCCTATGGGCATCGTAGCCCCCCGGCTCTCGGCATAGTCCCTCTTGGTATCATCCCTCTTGGCTTAGTGCCTCCGGCTCTCAGCACCGCCCAACGGCTTTCGGCACCGCCCCCATCAACAGACGATTGGATAAAGAAATGGTGATACATTTATACAATGGAGTATGACTCGGCCTTAAAAAGAATGAAATCCTACCATTCGCAACAACATGGATGCACCAGAGAGTATTATGCTGAGTGAAATAAGTCAGACTGAGAGAGACAAATACCATGAGATCTCACTGATATGTGGAATCTAAAGAACAACAAAAAAGAAAAATGAAGCAAAAGACCCAAAGTGGAAACCCACTGGGTGGACAAGCTCGGAAGGAACTACTCCGCATGACCTGACAAATCCCAGAGGGGTACACTCAGGACGGGGACATTGCACATATCAGGCCACACACTGTTTCAGTCATCGCCCCGTGGGTGGCAGGGTCGGTGCTGTCACTCCGAGCGCTCCACGTGTGATGTGGGGAAGACCAATGTCATCCTGGTGGTGTCCCTGAGAGGGACAGTGGTGTGGGGGGAAGACTTTTCAGAGTCAGGTCATCGGGCTCACAAAACCCTATGTCTTGGATCTGGATGGGAAATGCACGTGTGAACTCATGACCCATTTTAATCTTAAAAAATAAAAATAAAAAGATTTCTATGCTGAGCACACTGGAAAGTCCTAGAACCAATAAGGACACCGCTTGTAGGAAACACATCTGGCCTGTGAATTGCAGCCTCTCCCACTTCTGCTGGGAGGCACCTGGGGCTCCCTGGGACATGGCTGATGCCAGGTCTGGAGGTCCCATGGTGTCACAGCAGAAGGGAGCAGCCAGCTAGGGTGTGTAGGAAGGGCCCAGAGGCCAGGCTGATGGCCGCGATGGCACATGAGACGAGGAGGCACAGCAGCTGAGATGCCGTGCGGTGACCACACAGGCTCTGATCACATGCTACTCAGAGCAGCCATGGCCTCACTGGGGCACCTCTGGAGGACGCCAGGAGAAAATTAATTCTTCTGAAAAGAGAAAAAATCCTGCATTCACCCTGTACGTACTGAACCTGCTGGAACCACCATACTGGACCAGGGGACTCTCACATGGCTACGCCCTCAGCACAGGGGAGAGAGCTGCAGAAAGGCCACCCATCCATCGCAGGGGGACAGTCAAGGGACCATGACCACTGGCCTGGGCTCCGGGTGGCAAAAAATCCCACAAAACTCCTCCATGAGTGAGAAAGGTGAATTTGGGGTTCAAATCACCAGTTCCTGTGTGGCCCAGGGAGAGCCTACTATACGTCAGGAAAAGCCCCAGCAGAACAGAATCCCAAGGCCTTAAGACGAAGTCATCCACTGGACGAATGCTTATTGAGCATCTCCTAAGTCACTACTGGGGGCCGTGGGGACACGGGACGAACCAGTTAGAACATGAGAATTACTAGATAGAAAATATCAAACAACCCCGTCTACAATGTTTACAGGTTTATAAGGAATTGCAAACATGATCAGGGAGCAAGGTACAAGCAGAAAAGAACAGGCAGCTTTCAAATGGAACCAAGGAGAAGCTTTAGGGAGAAAAACCCAAAACTTTAAAATTTAACTCAGTGGGTGAGTTAAACATTGGGTTAATTGGAGTTGAAGGTAGACCCACAGAAATGATCTAGAAAGAGTTAAAAGCTATGAGATGCAGAGCACAGAATGTGGTGTTTTACCTTATGTCTCATGGGAGTTCTAGGGAAAAAAAATAATTGAGGTGAGCCTGTGTTACAAATAATAGCTAAAAAATGCTCAGACTTGAGCATAGCCATGAAACCTCAGATTAAAAAAGTTCAAACAAACAAAAACCCTCAAGCTGCAAAAATAAAAAGGAAATCGAGAGCTCTGAAGCCACAAAAAGGCTTGGATGAAACAAGTGCATATTCCTTAGTGAAAGAAGGGCCATGAACTGTGATTCCAACTCTATGGAATTCTGGGAAACTAAACTATGGAGACAGTAAAACGATCAGTTGTTGTCAGGGGTTGTGGAAGAGGGGGAAGGAATAAGTGGTTTAATCTATTCACCTCTCACCATCAGAGATTTTTAGGACAATGAAAGCATTCTGTGGCACTGTAAGGGTGGAAACATTATACAGTTTTCCAAACCCATAGAACAGAAACTAGAAGAGTGAACCCTGATAAAACTGGGGGCTAGAGGTAATAAAAATGTATCAATATTGATTCATCAATTGTAACAAATGTGGCACACCAGAGCAAGATGTGTATAACTGGATCCTGTATGATGGGGGAGAGGCAGATGGGGAGTGTACTTTCTCCTGTTTTCTTGTAAACTTAAAACCACTCTAAAAAATAAAGCCCTTTAATTAAAAAAGGAAACCCAAACCCTGACATACTAAATGAGACTGCAGAACACCAAGGACAAGAGAAGACCCTCCAGGCAGCCAGGGAGAAATGCAGATTATGTAACAAATGGGCAGAAAGGGTGGGGTGTGGGGTGTGTGTGTGTGTGGGGGGGATTGATACCAACCACAACAGAAGCTGATAAAATGTTTCAGAGAGGAGAGAATAACAATCTGCCAGGATCTACGCCCAGCTGAAAAGTCATTGAAGAGTAAGGATGGAAAGAAGATATCGTCAAACAAGCAAGGACCAGGGTGCTCAGTGCCCAGACGCCCTCCCTGAGGGAGCCAGCCGGGCTCTGCCCTCGGGGTGGGGAACGCGCGGCCTCTCACCTTTGCAGTGGGCGTAGGGCATCGAGAGGGTGTAATCCTCTGCCCGCTTCAGGAAGGTGAGCGTGGCCTTGCCGTCCAGCAGAGCTGACAGCGAGTTCCCTGCAGAGATGCGCAGTGGGTGGAGACAGGCCCTCGCCATCTGGGAGGCCACCCCCTGAATCACAGGGTCTGAGCTGCCTCCCAACAGGTGGAAGGTTCCCCAGCATGTCCAGCCGTGTGACTGTGGGTGGCTCACTTAACCTGTCTCCTCAGATTCTACAAAAGCCCCAGCCAGGTCCTGAGGAGTCTCTTAGTTTGCTAAGTGGGAACATTTATTTCAGTTACTTTTAAAGCAGGACTCCTCAGGCTGGAGGCTGAGACAGGAACGGGAGAAATAGCGGAGAAAATAATGACTGAGAATTTCTCCAAATTCAGGTCAGACTCCAAACCACAGAGACAGGAAGCCGAGAGACCATTAACCATGAAAATCCCCCAAAATCTTGGCATATCATTTTCAAAATACAGAAAATCCAAGTGCTGGGTGGAGGCAGAATGGATCCGGAAAGACAGGACGAAAGCAAGACTTGACAGGAAGCCATGTCCATGGGCCAGAGAGGAAAGGAGGCCTGGGCTAGTGCGTGAGCGGAGACCTGCGGGAGGACAGGAGGCAGCACACACTGGGATGGGGGCATAAGGGGCGGGGAGGCAGCGGTGACACCCAAGTTTCTGGACTGAGAGAGAACCAGGGGTTGTGGCAGTTACTTTACTGATGATTGGACACTGAAGAAGCTTGGCGCTGGGTGGAAGCAAGTGGCCAATTTGTGAATATTTCTGAGGGCTAGTGAGTTTGCGGGGAGAGAGAAGGGGGCAGGTGGGGCTCACATTCTGAGGGAGCAGTGGATGGACGGTGCTGTCATTCCCAGGGACAGAGACCCGGGGGCGTGGTTACCACACACCAGACAAGAGGTTTCTCCAGCCTCTGCTCGCCGTTCCAGACACCCGGTCCCCACAAAGCACATCCTTGGGGCCCGGCCCGGGCCTCCCTCTGTGCACTGTCACCTCCCAAGGACATCACACCCGACGTTTTACACGGAACAGGAATTAGAGAAAGCACTACAGTAAGTCCCCGACTCACGAACGAGTTCCGTTCCAGGAGAATGTAAGTCGGGTTCTTTCGTAAGTCCTACAAAGTGAGTCTTATACACCTTTGACACAAATATTCAATGTAAAGCATAAAAAACTAAACACACAAACAAAAGTACTGTAAATAAACTGTTTTTACTTTTACAGTTACCTTAAAATGGCGGTACGGTACAACAACTGGCATATAGGGGATTGCATGGAGTGAACTCACAAGAAGAGTCACTAACTGGAGCGGGGGGGGGCGATGGTGGAGCTGAAGGATCCTCAGCTGTAGGGGATGGAAGGTGTTTCCTGCTACCTTATCTTCTACATCACTGGTTGGATTCTCTGCTCCATCTAATCTACTGTTGATTCCCTGTAATATATGCTTCATTTCCGTTATTGTATCCTTTAGTTTTGACTGGTTCTTTTTCATGGTTTCCATCTCCATTTTTGTTTCCTTTCTCTCTGTTGACGTTCTCTCTGAGATCATTGAGCATTCATATAACCAGTGTTTGGAACTCTGTGTCTGATAGATTGCTTAACTCCGTTTCACTTAGTTCTTTTTCTGGAACTTTGTTCAGTTCTTTTATTGGGGACATGTTTCTTGGTCTCTCCATTTTGGTTGCTGCCCTGCATTTGTTTCTGTGTATTACGTAGGGCTGCTATCTTCCAGTCTTAGTAGAGTGGTCTTATGTAGTAGGTGTGCTGTGGGGCACAGTGGCAGTCTTTCTGGTCACCTGACCCACGTGCTCCAGGTGCATCCCTTGTGTGGGTCATGTGTGCCCTCCTCTTGACTGGAGCCTTGGTTGCTAATTGCACATCAATTGGGAGGGACTGACCCTTGGGCTCACTGGTTGTGAGGACTGGCCCTGACTACAGTTGTTAGTCAGTTGTTTTGGTGGGGCTGACCCTACAGAGCAGGCTCTGCCTCAGCAGGACTCTGGTGTCTGCCCAATCCGACCCTTGAGTGTGTCGTACTGGGAGGCAGCTGGGTGATGCGCCAACTCATTTTGAAGCTGGCCACTGGGGTCGCCAGCCCAGGACCACCTTGGAGGAGATCTGCCGTAGGTCTACTTCAGCCACAGCCCATGCCCCACCTGGGGCCACATAGTGGGAGCCAGAAAGAAATCGGCAGATGGCTGCCACCTGTGTTCTGCTTGGAAGCACCTTGAGAGGCCAAGCCAGGAAGCAGGGCCGGCTGCCGCTAGGACCAGCTTAGGGCTGCTCAGCCAGAGGCACAGGACACGCTCAGCCCAGACGCTGCTTGTCTGGGTTCCGCAAATCTTTTGAGAGTCTAGGAAAGTCTGCAGCTTGAGCTAAAGCAGGCGGTCTTCACGAAAAAGGCACTGAAAGCAGCCTGGGTGTCCCCAAAACTTGGAGGGTGCCAGGTCTCAAACTGCCAGGGCTGGACAAACAAACAGCAGAGACTCAGATATGGCGGCCACCTGTGCTCACACGTGGAGAAAAGGGGCGGGCTCAACAAAGAAACAATGTTCTCCTCCAGGAGAAAGCCGCCTCTCCAACCCAGACATCCAGTTCCCCACCGTATGTCCCTGCTGCCTTTCCAGCTGTTGCCCCAGCGCTGGAGCTCAGAGCGAGTGATTCCATTGGTGGGTAAGTCCCTGTGCGGTTCCTTGAAGAGGAGAGCCTGTGAGTACAGCTGCACCGTCTCATTCAGTAATGATCTCCGCTGGTTTTCACAAACAGAAATTATGGGGACTCCTCTCCCCAGCACTGGAATCTTGGACCAGGGTGGGGTTGGTATCTTTCACTCTTTTAAGGGGTGAGGGGACCCCCATAGCCGAAACAGCCCTCCCGATCTTTAATGGTCACACGCGGGTGTGGGACCAGCTGTTCTGAGTCTCTGACCTTCCTATCCGTCTGGAGGTGGCTTCTTCTGCACGTCCTTCATTGAAAGGCTTCAACTCAGCTTGATTTTATGCGATTCTCAATAATGGTTGTTTTGTAGATTAGTTGCAATCTTGATGTGGTTGTGAGAGAAGGTAAACACAGCGTTTACCTACTGCGCCATTGTGGTTGTCCTCCCCGAGAAAACACTATTTCAATATAAATTTTATTAGGTACAAAAGTTGTAAGTTAACCATTGTCATCCCAATAAATGTAGTAAAAAGATTATAAAAGCATGTACTATTAAACTGTACTGCATTTTACTAAAAGGAGGTTTCACGTCAATACTTTTAAAAGTTTAAGGCACTTAAAAACGTCTCTATACCTGTCACCATGGCCCACCCCGGCCTATCCTGGCTTAGAAAGGTGGGGTCTAGTCTCAGTCCAGTCTGACTCTTAGGCAGAAGATCCGAGGGACGGTCTGATCCTGGTCACAGGTATAACTAGGTCTGTGACAGCTCAGAATGGCTGGCGGGGTGACTGTCATTGCGCCTACGTATTCATGGAGCACCCAGTCAGTGCTACGCCGTGTTCTATGTCACGGGACATCGCACTGACTCTGAAATGAAGGAGTTGGTGGGGACAGAAAGACAGCCACCTGATGCGACCCACACACCAACCAAGTGCTACCTGCTCGTCAGCCAGGAGCCCACCGAGAGGGTACCTGAGAGGCATGGGTGGGAGACTGCAAAAGAGAGACTAGAGATGAAAGCTGGGGACAGGAGGCCCACCCAATGCTGATGGCAGAGAGTGGCCTCGTTTACTATTTGTATACAGCTTTTATAGCAAAAGTAACTTTCCTAAGGTAGGGGGTTTGGGACCTTGAGGGAGTAGCCCCCTCCTCTCAGGGAACAATTTCCTTGGAATCAATCTTTCCGAAGTGAGATAAAACAAAGTATAACATGTACGAACTGTTAACAGGATGGCCTTCCACTCTGTAACTTTTAAGGTTGTCTGTGACGTTGGCTGTTCTTTCTTAGGGGCACAGTGGAGATGAGATCTATCCAGCAACCTTCCCACGCTGCTCCCCCCGGGCCTGACAGCCTGTCAGCTTGCCAGCTGTCAGGCTTAACCCTTCCTGCAGCTCTGGCCTGTAACTTTTAGGCTGCTGTAAAGCTGCTCACCCTACCAAGGAGGCCTATAGCTTGCCAGCTTACAGCCTCAGTGTCCCTGTCCCTGACTGATCCCAGCCAGCTCCCCACAGCCACCAACTCCCCTGGGCTCAGCACCAGGAAGGGGCTCTGAGGAACGTGAGCCCACCCAGCACACTGAGCGAGGCCCGACAAGATAAGCTCACGGGCCCTGGAATCACTTAGCATCGGCCCATCTCTGCCACGCGCACTGGCCTGGCAGAGGAGCACTCTCGCTTATACGCGCAACTGACCTCCCCATTGGAAGCTTTACACAGAATCATAACCCCACGTGAAAGTCAGGACGTCCCACATGGGATTATGCAAATCAAGCTCACCCCAACCCATCCACGACACCGCTTAGTCATAATCCCGAGCCAACGAAGAGTTTACTCTAGTTGGTTTCTCGGCATGTCTACCGAAGATATTATCAGCAACCAATTTGTTTACAATATTCTGCAAATACACATATAGCTCCGTTTGCTGGAGGGCAGCCACGAGTGTAAACACAGACGCTTCCCTTCCGAGCTTGTTTCTCCACCTCAGCAGCATCTTATGATGCTGTTCCATCAAATTGCCGGGATCCTCGTGTTCGCAAATCTCAATGTCATTGTCCTCAAGTCCGACAAATCTCATCAGCATCTTCCAGTGACTTTCTGGAACCTTATGTCCGAATTCATAATAGATCCTATTGGTGGCTGAAAAAAAATAAAAACAGGAAAGAGACTGTTGACGGTCCTGGAAGGCACAAGTAGCATCCGCTGGCACTGTTCCCACCTTCCCCGGGGGCCTGGGCACCAGGAGGCCCCC